TGTCACGGGTTAGAGTTACAGTAAAAGAGCCAACTTATATTTTTGTTTACATTATAAATTTAAGAAGTCTTTGATGGCCCAATGGTCATCTACTCTTTTGTTGGTCCAAATGGCCAAGGGGTTGTGGGATCAAATCCTACCCCCACCACTTCTTGCAATATTCTCCCATACAAAAAAAAACTGTTACAAAAAAATTCCACAGGCAGCCACCACACCGGTGGCCGGCGGTGGCTACTGGCGGCCGGCCACCGGTGGGGCCTGAGTTTTTTTTTTTAAAAAGATAAAGGGCATTTTTGTCATTTCACTAAATTTTAAAATTCCAATTTAGGAAGAACTTCCCTCTTTGTCATTACATTTCCTTAGCTTTCCAAATTGGAATTTCAGATATTCCACCTTCTTTATCTGTCATTTTCCCTTTACATAATATAATAAATTTAAATTATTTTAATATGAAAAAGTGAAATTTAGTGACTAAAATATGTTTTAAAACATTAGAGATATCAGAATTTTTTTTTGGTAAATATAAAGTGAAACATAATTTTAAAAAATTCAAAATTATTTATGCATATATATGCGTACACGAGCTCGCATTGCTAGTAGAGAGAGTGAGAGAGAAGCATGAGACAAATGAGGGAGAAGAGAAGAGAGAATAATACATGGCCCCACCAACTCATGGAAATTTATTAAAAGTACGATTACATATAAGCCATAAGTAGGAAGGAGAAGCTTGTCCAAAAAGCAGGATTGAAACCAACTTTTGACCATAAGTTAAATGGGCAAAAAGCTTATCCAAACACCAAGCTAAGAGCCCAAACATACTTAAGATTGCAAAAGCTATTTGTTATGGATCTAAATGCTGACCCAAATAGGCTAATAATAAAACACTCATGGGTACTTTTAAAACTGGATGTAGGTCAAGTGGTAGACCATACCAATATAAATCAACATGTTGTCCCCCCTTCTTTTAGTGATATCATTCTAACTCTTTCTCTATTTCATTTTTAATTGTGCATAATTTAATATCATCCAATTTACTCCTATCTTGGGTGATTATCCTATCTAACAAGTAGGTGATAGGTGTTTTATCTCAAATTATGTGAATACGTGCTTTTGTGATCTCAATTATGATCTCAAATTAAACAAGAACTTATTAAATGACAACAAGTGATGGCTAATTTCACTTAGAGGATTAAGTCTTCTCACAAAGAAAATAATTTTAAAGTAATTTCTAAGGACTTCATAGGATCGGAAGAATCATTTTGGGATTCTAATGTTTCCACGATCCTTTTATATGCCTTTCTCCTTATGAAAAATCATATTACATCTAGTTAATTTGAAAATATTAAGAAAAATAAATAAATTACTTTAAAGTATTTATATTTATTGTTTTTCTCTAGACTAATTTTTCCCACTTATAAACTAATATGTAATCTAATGATACATGTGCAAGTATTTCACAGAGATCATGAAACATATGATATATAAGTAATTTATTTAGCTTTCTTATCCTACTCAAATTAATTAACTGAATTTTTTATTAAGTATGGGAAGCTAAGTAGTATTATTTATAACATTTTTGGGATAGCACTGACCAACGCACGTCGATGTTTGCATTTAAACATTGAGACGCAAATTGCCCCCAAAAAAAAAAACATTGAGACGCAAAAGCCATTAATGCTTTTCTTTCTTTCTTTTTCCTATCACAAAAGCGATCATCTTAATTCTCAAACATTTTCTTGTCAAGTTATGAACCAGCTATAATAATAATAATAATAATAATAATAATAATAATAATAATAATAATAATAAAAAGAAAACAAAATTAGTAGAGTATGCGAATGATGGTGTAGTAAAAGAGAATGCCTAGGTTTAAAATAATACCATGCCGGTGAGTCTCTTCGAATTTCAAAGACTCAGTCTTGAGAATTACAAGTCTTATCATGTCAAGGTCTCATCAAACAGCTCTCCATGCCTCACACAGACCACATTAGGACCTCAATCGGTAATACTCCGAACTAAAGACTCTTCAACTGATAGAGATCATCTCACAGGATTATAATCAGATTCTTTATAATACACAGGATCCTCATATGAGGCAAGTGTACAACATATTTGAATCTTAAAGACAGATAGAACAAGCTTTTAGAAAGAGAGAGAGAAAGTTTAGAGAGATGCTATGAAAAGCATTCATAAGAGGTGAAAAGACCTTTTTCAAATATAAAATTATAGAACAATTTTAAGACGGTAACTATGGTTAAAAAAAGAATTAGACTAGAGTATTAAAACACCATCATGATTACAAAGGGTTTGTGTTATTTCGAAAACATCACAAGAGACTCGATACACAAAACACCTAAAAGTTTAACAAGTAAAATAAGGATCTAAGGCACAGTAATCACCTACAAACCCAACATAAACATCATCCCACAAAGATTTAGAGTACAAGAAACAAAAGGTGCTAAGCCCAACCTACAAGTCATACACATGTTCAATCCACAAGAGAAACACAAGCAATAATGTCCTATGGCCTCTAACCATTCTAACAATACTCCACTAAATACAGTTATCTGACAATCAAATAAAAGTAAGTATATGTTAATAAAAACATGGTCCTAAGATGGTAATATACATGACATTGTAAGCCCAAGCCAAAAGAGGACTACTAGGCTATACTTATCTATGCCTCTGGTTACTTTCCATCGCGCCAAGCCGAACTAGTTGGCTCTCCTGAAAAACAATAATAAACAACGGGATGAGACAATTAAGTCCTAGTAACCAGTAACCAATTTGCAACATATGTAAGCAGGATGGTAAGTCGATGAAGTAATGCTTATACGTGAATTTTTAAGTGATAAAATATGCAACTACAGATGTAACAAACACATAACTATATAAATTCCCATGTCATCCATCATACTCCTCCTTATAAATCCATGAAAGGTACCCTGACTTTCTATGTTGAGTAACCCGGTCAAAGGTCACCCCACTCATATCAAGTCAATAGATCCCCTCCTTCTACACTACCCAAGAATGAATTATGGTGCAAGAGATGTCTGCTCGAGAGCTCATTCTCAATTCTAGACTAAGAAAAAGAAAAAACTACAAAGGTCTAATAACAGGGCCAACCATTATGATCAAGAGAACTGGCATGCTTATTTTATTCTTTTGTCACTTGTTCTCTCTTTCTCTCCTATTGGATGAAGCAAACAAATGAATTGTGGGGGTATATTTAATACCCCTCATATATTTATCAGGGGAAGTTTCCCCTAATAAATTTTTACTTACTTTTTTGCCAAAATTTTGGTGGAAAAGTTACTTTTTTTTATAAATATAGTAATAAAAAAATATTATTATTTTTATAATAAAATATTAGTATATTTTATATTATTTCATTTTACTTTTAAATTTCAACTTTTTAAATAATAATATTTTAATTATATTTTTTTTGCTGCTTAAATCCAAAAATAAAATTTAGGATGTTAAACCTGACATCATTTTGTTTCTTACTTGAAAAGATGTATTACTTTTCGATCTCCAAAACAAGTTTTTTCAAGTTTTAGTTTGAACTCCTCAGTCCTAACATTTTCTAAAAGTAAAAGAGCCTTTTATAGATATATTCAAGGTTATCAAACTCATGAGTTTAAACAAACTCGTAATAATGATATAAACTCAGATTGTAAACTCATAAGAATTTACGTTTATTAATAAACTAGTAATAAAAGTATATAATCAAATCATTAATGTATCAAAACTGAGAACAATTTCATTTAAATATATTTTAATTTTAAATAATTGAAATTATATTCATCAATATTCATAATTTATCACATTCAACAAAGAAATTTCTATAAAATTCATATATAAAATCACTAAACATAATCCAATCCAAAAATTTAGCATGAGTTTAATAACGAGTTGACACGATTTTGTAAGTTAAAAACGTAAAAACAGTAAACTTAGTAAATAAACTCGTAAGTTTAACCAAATTTACAATTATTAAAAGCTTAAGAGTGAATCGACACGATTTTGTTAGCTGAAAACGTAAAAACGTTAAACTCAGAGAGTTAACTCGCGAATTTAACACAGTGGATATATTTGTATATTATATTACCCAAATCTAAATGATAAGTTGATTTAAATAATAGCGAAAAACTATTGATGCATCGTTATCATTATTATTATTGTTTTGTTTAATTATCTGAAATTGCCAAGAATTCATATTTCTTGTTTTGTTCAAATAATTATCGATAAATTTGACTATTTTAAGATAAATATGGTTTTTTTTTTAATGCTAAAGACTAAAACATTCTTTTAGTTGAATTTTATTTTATATTTTTAAGGATATGTTTGGAAATGCACAATAAATCATAGGGAAGTAGAACTTACCTAAATCTTTCTCAATAAATTACTTCCATACTTCAGTGGAAACTTTAATTTCCCCTTTCCATAGATTTTTAAAAAAACCTTCTAGAGCAAATTTTCCATTTAACCCATTATATAATTCAATCATGAATGTGTTTAGCTCAATCTGATCCAAAATTTCAAATAATGAGGCACAATATCAAAATTAAACCCATAATATTAACAAAGAATTTTTAAAAATTAGTGTTCCCTTGCCATACTTAGATCTGGCATTGACATTTTTTTGGGTCAAGAGCCCAAGACAATGATAATTAAGGGTTAGTTAATTTTGGTAATTATCATCTAAAATGACAGATCAATTTTAATATTAAAGAGAGGGGATTTTCTTTTACAACCCCTTTTGTTAAAACAACTCATCAAAGCGAGAATACTGTTACATTCTATGGTTTATTTTAGTAGTCAATAATAATGATTAGTTATATTATTCTGAAAACAAAAGGAGATATACCTGTAACATGATCTCAATCTCATCCATTTGAGTAGGAAAGAGAATAAATTTACCATTAAATTGACCATATAAATGTAGGAAACATTGCCTAATTTTCTTGTGCTTCTTTTCTCTCATCTTAATTTCCATCATGGAAGCAAAATCAGTTTTCCTGTATATTATTCTTGCTTCAATCTTTTTAGTGTGCCATTCAGAAGATGTAAAACTTAATGTGAAAGTGATAACATCAATAGCCAATACAGATGAAAATTTTATCTGTGCAACTCTAGATTGGTGGCCTTCTAATAAGTGTGATTATGGTCAATGTCCTTGGGGACAAGCGGGGATTCTCAATTTGGTATAAGATTTAAAATTTCCTTTGAAATAATTAGTGCTATCAAAAATCAGCTATAAGCATCTTATCTTTTGTTGTTTCCATATTGACAGGATTTGGATAACAACATTCTGATAAATGCTATGAAAGGTATGACATTTTATTTTCTCAAGTAAATTTCATGACTAACAGAAGTTTCATGCTTGACATCGTCTTTTTATTCTTTTTTTTTTTTTTAGTTTTTGGAAGTCTTCTTCATTCATGCATGTATTTCATTGTAACTCCTAATTCATCACTTGAATCGAACAAAGAAGGGAAAATGATAGAAAAAATATTTGATATTTTTTCCTCATTTTTCTTAAAGGATTGAAAAATATAGAAGATTTTGTATTAATTTTCCAAATTCGTTCTATTTTTATTGGATCTAATACAATAAAGTAAAATTAGCATTGCTAACTTATCATTCATTTTTCTTCTCTCTTTCATTCCCTCAGCCAAATTTCTTTTCTTCCATTCTCCTCCCAATAAAAGCTACCGGAAACTAACTGCTATACATTGAAAGATCAAATTGTTTATATGGATAATTTGTTTGTTGGTGCAGCATTTAACCCTCTAAGAATCCGATTAGGAGGGTCACTAGAAGATCAAGTGGTGTATAGATTTAGACATCCAAAAAATTGCCCAAGATTCACAAAGAACCAAGATGGCCTGTTTGGATTTAGCTCTGGATGTCTTAATCATACTAGATGGGATCAAATCAATGACTTGTTCAACAAAACCGGGTATATTCCACTCATTCTCTTGACATAACATTTCACACTATGATCTCTAGTTATATCAATAACTATATATATGTGTGTCTTGGCTCAACTATATTCTTATGATATGGTGTTGATGTTGTGGCAGAGTCAAACTCACATTTGGGTTGAATGCTCTTTATGGAAAGAAGAGATCCATGGATGACAAAGTTCTCTGGGTTGGTAATTGGAACCCACATAATGCTGCTACCCTCATGGCTCACACTGTTTTAAAAGGATACAAAATTGATTCGTATGAATTAGGTATGACAAAGTTTTTTGCTTTGAACTTGAATTCATAGTTTGTTAATGTGCATTGTGGTTTATGATCAAAGTCTAATTTGTGGCAGGAAATGAGCTATGTGGTGATGGCATTGGTGCCAGAATAGAAAGTGTGCAATATGCAAAAGATATCACTGAGCTTAGAAAATTAGTTAATATGTTTTACCCAAATCCCACTACAAGACCGCAAGTGCTAGCCCCGGGTGGTTTCTATAAGAAGGAATGGTTTGATAGTTTCTTGCAAAATACAGCACCTAATGTTGTTGATGGAGTTTCCCACCATATTTACAACTTGGGTGCTGGTGAGTAACATAACTCTCCATCTTGTTATTTTTTACTAAGCTAGGTGTTAACCAACTAACTAACTAATTTTTTTTTGTCTATTTTCTCTTTTTTATTTTGGGCATTCCTTCAGGCACAAAGAGGCCAAGTGAACACATAACTTATGTTTGGTTAATTTTTTAGAAAATGTCTAATACTCCATCTTTATGATAAATGTAGGTGTGGATAAGACTTTGATTAACAAGGTGCAAGATCCATTTTTTCTAAGCCAGGTTGCTCAAACATTCAAAGATATATCAACAAGTGTGAAAGAGTATGCACCATGGGCTCAAGCATGGGTTGGTGAATCTGGAGGAGCCTATAACAGTGGAGGCAAAGACGTATCACATACCTTTGTCAATGGCTTCTGGTCATACTCTAACTAATCCCTCATTTAATTTGAGCTGATTTCTTGTTCTTTTTTCTATTTATTTTGGAATTTTTTCTTGAACTTATGTTGATGTGCTTTTCAATGAGCACTAGGTATTTGGATCAACTAGGCATGACATCAACCTTCAACCACAAAGTTTACTGTAGGCAAACATTGATAGGAGGAAACTATGGTTTGCTTAATACAACATCATTCATTCCTAACCCAGATTATTATGGGTATGACTTTTGATTTCATTTAGTATGCGTGCGCCTTAAAAGAAGTGTGATTATTAATGTCTTTCTTGAACAGAGCTTTACTATGGCATCGGCTTATGGGAACCAAAGTACTCTCTGTAAATCATGAAGGCTCACCATATCTACGTGCATATGCTCATTGTGCCAAGAATAAGGTAAGCAATCCATTCATTCATTCTGAAAATGTTTAGTTTCTCTTCTTCATTCTTAATTCCCATGAATAAAAGTTTACACTTTTTTGGATATTTACAGGCTGGTGTGAGCATATTACTAATAAACATGTCGAATTCTACTTCCTTCAATGTGTCTATTAATATGGACATGAATTTGTACCCAGAGCAACAAGTGTCAAACTTAGAGGAGAGGGAGGAGTACCATTTGACTCCCAAGGATGGAAACATTCAAAGTGACGTTGTGTTATTGAATGGAAAAGTTTTGAGTTTGACTGAGTCTCAAGATATTCCCTCCATGGATCCAGTGCTTGTAGATCCTTTTTCTCCAATCACTGTTGCTGCTGATTCCATTGTTTTTGCACGGCTCATCAACCTTAATGCACCTGCTTGTGCATAGTCCTTTTTTCATGTTCTTCTTCATGATATACATTTAATTTTTATGATGTGTCTTCTTAGGATTTCTTAATTTCACAATGTTTTGATTAGGCTATTAATCTTGATTAATTTCAGATTATGATATTTAATTTGATTCTATTTCCAATTTGCATTGTCAACATATTTGTTTGATATTCATACATTAATACACGTCATGTTTTGATCGACACAGTTTGTTTGTGGGATTTGATTTCTACATGCCTTTAATCCAATATATAATCGTCACTATTTATAAATTATAAATAAAATATTTTATAAATATTATATTAGGAAAATTTCATAAAATGACATTTAAAGGGCATAAAAAAACAAAACAGGTTGCTAATTTTACATAATGCAATATCAGGGTGGGTGAACTAATTTGGAAAACATTAAAATATTGCTAAAAGATGTTACGACGAATCGATTTTTGTTAATAGTTTATTGTTTTAGGTAATATCTGAAGTATAGATATTATCTACTTTTAAGTTTCTGGACTTTAATTTTACCCAAATATGAAATGTCAATAAAAGTTGCTATTGAAAAGTTAATTTTTATTAATAATTCATTTGTTTTAGGCAATAACTAAAAAAATTATTGTCATTCGATTTCATGTTTTAATACTTAAATTTACCCAAGTTTGAATTATTAATAAAAGTTGGTATTAGGAAATTAATTTTTGTTAATAGCTTATTAGTATCAAACACATGAAAGATCAAAATGTAGACTTTATGAATCTGTAAATCCAAAGAAAAAGGGATTTAAAAAAATCATATTACTCCTTTTTTTTTTTTGGGGTGAATAACATCATATTGATTCTAATTAGGCTAAAATCGACATAATCCCTTTTAACTTTGAATGAGTTACATATAACCTCCTGACATTTTTAAATTTAAACCTAACCTTCCTAACGTCTTAATTTTTGACATTAAGTCCCTTGCCATTTATTTGGCCATTAAGTTACTGACAGAAACTGCTATATCAGATTAAGAAGGATATATCATAAATATAAAAAGAATATCTCCCCACTGTCATTAATCTCCATAAACTCGAACCAAAGGTAATTAGCTAACACTGGTTGCCATGCTGCTGATATATAGACACACGATCCTCAAGTGGCCGGTCACCAATCACGCAATAAGCTAATGATAACTATAAGCATCTTATATTTAGTCAAGGGTCTTGCTCGTTGCAAGGACTCACGTTAGCAGTATGCAAATGGCAGCCCCACATGTGCCTATATTGAGCAGGTTTTCTTTAGTTATGTGCTTGTTTGGATTCAGATTAGGGGTTTGCCTCTAGATTGCCATTCACAATTGGTCGCAGAGCAGCTTGGGAATTTGTTGGATCCTTTCCTGTCTTTTGATGATTCTTGCCTAAACAATTAGGGTTTTAGTTGCCTTACTTGGTCGTATGTGTTTCTCTCCATCTCCCCAAGTTTCAAACTCAAACAGGCAAGAATTTAAATTAAAATTGAGACATTATAGGGATTAAATTTAAACTTTCAAACATCTAGAGGTTATATGCAACTTATGTGAAATTGAAGAGAATTTTATAAATTTTAACCTTATAATTAACTAGTTTTCCTAATATAATTAAATTAGTTAAATAAGTCTTAAATTAAGAATTAAAAGAATACTACTACTAGTAAAACTGGTGCATATAAAGACACCATAATTTTTAATGAAGGGTATCATTCGAATGAATTGTTTAATGTACCAGATAATAATACCCTTGGTGCAGAACCTAGTTTTGAAGAATGAGGAATATCTTTCATTTTCATCATATAGCATCAATTAAATATCACCTTTAGTACTTAATATATGAATATGACTCAGACGAGGGTTGTATTTGGTTATAAATATAAAGTTTTAATCAGTTCTATCTCCTATTTTTATCTTTTTTTTTAAATTAATTGACCTAACTTATAAACTGATATATAATCTAATGTTATACATGGATCTTTTATATTGATTATGTCATATTTATTATGATTAACTAATTTACTTGATTTCTTTAACCGATACAAGTTACTCAAGTAACTTTTATACTATCTTCAGTTCTAATTATAAGACCTCGTTTGTAGTTTACAAACCAAGTCTTATAATTTGGGCCGAAGATAGTATTAAAAATTGGAGGGACACCAGACTAGCTCTTGTGAGACGTATACTCCAGACAACATACTTGCTCGGAAACACTATATAACGATAATTATTATGTCATTTTGATAAGCATGTAGAACATATGAATGCGAATTAAAATCCTCGTTTGCACAGGCAATCTCATTGACTGTTTGGATTAGCTTTTTAGAAGTAACTTTATGGAGTTCGAGGTACGTATGTGAAAGGAATTTTGTTTCGACTTATGTTAAAACACCTTTTTAAGTGATTTTGGAGGTTCCGAATATTGAATTACCTTTTCAAAAGTAAATTTACAATGTTTGAGATAAATATATGAGAGGAGTTTTATCTCAATTTATATAAAAATATTTTTTAAAGTGTTTTATAGGGTTTTTTCCCTTCAAACAAACCGACTTCCAATTCCAATCTCAATTGCAAATTGCAATACATCATCAAAATTCAGTCCTGCGTACCAAAACCGGGTCTCAAAGTTTGCTTGATAAGGCCAGACCTTGCCCAGCTCTGTGGGCCGATATAAATGACCAGCCTAAAACAAACGCCATATTCTGGTCAACACACACACGCACATATTTGGAGGGTCATCGGCTAAGGATCCACAAAATAATTTTTAGCTCTGGCAAAAAAAAAACAAAGAAATAATTTTTGGCTCATTTTCTAAAAGAAATTTTACCAATAGGAGTTAAATATAGTAAAAAAAGTTATTCTTTGAGAATGACTAACCAACATTCGAATTTCCTGAAAAAAGTGATTATATTTGGTGCTCAATAATATCTCAAATAATATTGTCTTGAGAAGAATGCTTATACCTAACAAATAAATAAATAAATAAACTAAATTTTGAAAAAAACTTGGACTGAGGCCAGCATTCTACCGAAGAAATAAATAGATTAACACTGTTGATACTATTAATGAAAAATACCGACTCATCGTCACTTTGCAAATAAATGCTAATCAAGCATTTTTAAAATTTAATAATTAATTAGCATTTTCTATTAATGGGATTAACACGGTGAAGATTTTGGTAAACAAAAAAAATTGAGTGTTCATATTAGATTAAGAAACTGAAAATATATTTGGGTTAATATATTTTTTGGTCCCTAATTTTAGCCTATTTTAATTTTAGTCTTTTAAATTTCAAACCCGCAGTTTTAATCCATGAAATTTAGTTTATTTTAAAAAGTTAGTCCCTTAAGATATGACGGTATTAAAATCTGTTGAAATTTTGTAAACATCATTAAAGTGGTTATGTGAATTCACTAGATGGTATCCAATTATATTTTATGTGAATAACAGAGAATTAAAAAAAAAAATCCTCAAAATAATGCTGTTTAGCTCCATTTTCCCTCATAGTTTGTTTGAGGAGTTGCTTGCTGCACTATACTATCAGAACTGATCCCCTTCAATATTATCATACTCTGCATTGTGTTTTGAGGACATGTTTTGTTTTGTTTTTGCCTGCTATTTACACAAAATCTAGTAAGGTGCCATATGATAAATCTACTTATTGATTTAACACCGTTTACAATGTTTTAACAGATTTTAATATTGTTACATCTTTAAAGACTAGTGTTTTAAGACTAATTAAATTTTAAGAATTAAAACCATATATTTAAAATTTGAGAGACGAAAATAAAAATGGACCCAAGTTTTAGGGATAAAAAATTATATTAACTCAACATATTTTAAAATTTAAAGGACTAAACTAAAATTTTTTGTAACCCTAAAAAATCAAACTTATACTTTAACATATAATTATCAATAAGTTTGACTATTTTAACAATAAATATGGAATACTTGAATTAAAGTCTTTCCGCCTCTTGAAGAGATGGTGGTCATAATGGCATTTTTCTATGTCCCTCATCTTATCAATGCCGTTGAGTAGTATATACTCTTATTTTGGGAACTTCAAACAGTGTTTGCTTTCATGGTGTTATAGCTACCTAGCTGGGACAAGACGGGATTGAATTTGGCTAATATTTAAAGCGCTGATATGATTTTGGGCTCATGTTTTTCTGCATTTAGTTTTTTGTTTTATTGGTTATTGTTTTATATTTTCTTTTTCTCATTTGGTTTATTTCAGTTTTGCTCAAATCAATCGACTTTTTTTTAAGGTAATTGTTCTGTTTAGGTTAAATATTTTTATTAAAAAAGTCTTTCTATCTAAAGAAATTTCTAAATAGAGAATCTCTATTTTTTATATTTTATCTTTTAATGGATAAAATAATTTCATTTAATAATTTCGTCACTGAATAAACAGCATTAGAAAATTTTAGAAGTTTATATTAAAGTTTCAGTGCCGACGGAGTGAGGAGGAGATTTTCAACGTTGATGCCGCGTTCGCTGGAGCTCCACTTCCATTAATCAATCAGCAATAATTTCCAGTGCTTTTCCTCCTTCAAACTGCCAAATTACCGAATCCAAAATGTCTGAGGCAGTGAGTTTTCTCTCCTGAGACCGGAGAGCTACACAGAAAAAGGAGACATCTTAGCTATAATTCTTGAGATCCACTAGGACCGCCTATTTGCGAGTCCTTTTGAGAGTGGTTGAGGGACAAGGATCTCTGGGTTGCCCTCAAAATGGCGCGAATACCCTCATCTCTACTTCCTCTGATCCTCATTTTCACTCTATCGATGCTCCACTTTGCACACTGTAAAACCCTTAAGCGTGATGGTAACCCCACGGATCCCGGATCTTCCTTTTCTGTAGTTTTCTCTGATTTGGCTCATGGGGTTTTTATTCATTGCTTAAAGGGTTGGTCTTTGATGGGTTTCTGGTTTTTGCAATTTTCAGTTAAAGCTTTGAATGAGATCAAGGCGTCTCTTGGTTGGAGAGTTGTGTATGCGTGGGTTGGAGATGATCCCTGTGGAGATGGCGATCTGCCTCCCTGGTCTGGGGTCACCTGTTCCACTGTCGGTGATTATCGAGTAGTTACGGAACTGTAAGCATCATCGTACTTCGTGATGAATTTCAAGTTTCCTAGAGGGTTCGATTGACTTAGTAGTTTTATGAATGAATTAAGAAATATGACCTTCGATAATTGAAATTACTTTCTTTATTTGCAGCGAGGTGTATGCTGTGTCTATTGTCGGACCTTTCCCTACTGCTGTAACCAGCTTGCTGGATCTTACACGCCTGTAAGTATCTTTCACTTATTTCAGATCTCAACAAGTCTTTCTAAAGTATGTGTTATTGATATTACTTAGTATCGTGTTCATTGACGGATATGCCACTTGATGTGAAAAGCTATATTTGTTCCGATACTTCCCCGCAATTACAAGATTTTCAGTTGGTCCATAAATTATAAATTTTAATGATGGAAATAAGATTTGTACTGTAAAGTAGCATATTAAAGTATCTTTGCGGTCAATCTTGACCTTATGATGTATGCAGTTCGGGTAATGTTTCTGGTGGATTTTTAACGTGCATGTATAACAGTTATTTAATTCTGATATTGGGTGCACTAATGAAAGATTCCTGCTAATGACGCTTTCTGTGAATGTTTGACTGTTATTTATTTTTAGATTGGTTTGTAAGTGATAAAATCCCAAAAATAAGGTTTACATGCTGAAATGATATTGATACGTTAATCTTCTAATGTTCATGTAATTTTCTAATATATATACTGTGAATTTTTTGCCTATGCCTTCTGTGACCTTACGGAATACACATAATCATGGCAGGGATTTTCATAACAACAAGTTGACAGGACCTATTCCTCCTCAAATTGGACGACTGAAGCGGCTTAAAATATTGTAAAATTATCTGATCCTTCCTCGATTTTGATTACTCACTTCATTTTGTTGTGATACTTCAACTTTTTACATCAGGCATAAGAATGTCTCGCTTTATTGTATATAAATTGTCATTTCTGCTTATAAAGTAGGATCAGAATGACTTATGTGTTACTAACCGTTGCTCTTTCATGGAGAGCATTCCTTTTTTTTTTTTTTTAACAGTGCTTTTGAACAAGCAATAATTAATGTTTGAATTGAATTGGCTCATGGCTGATTTTTATTTCATTCCAGAAATTTGAGGTGGAACAAACTACAGGATGCAATTCCTCCAGAGATTGGTGAGCTTAAGAGTCTGACACATCTGTGAGTAACCTGATCTTACTGGTTACTTTCTTTCTTTGTTTTTTGGGCATTATTTTGTTTATATCTTACAAATATGAATTTGTATCTTTTTGCAGATACTTGAGCTTTAATAATTTCAAGGGAGAAATCCCCAGGGAACTAGCTAATCTTCCTGAGCTTCGCTACCTTTATCTTCATGAAAATCGTCTTAGTGGAAGAATCCCTCCTGAATTGGGCACCCTACAAAATCTTCGGCACCTGTAATATTCAAATTTTATATGGGTCACTTGCTGCAGTTTTTATTTATTTATTATTTATTTATTTTTTATTTTTGAACTCAATGCGACTCTCGGTTATGATTCTGTGTTGATAGGGATGTTGGGAACAATCATTTGGTGGGTACCATAAGGGAACTTATCCGCATTGAAGGTTGCTTTCCAGCACTTCGGAATCTGTAAGTTATTTCTAGCTTGTGTGTCATAAATGATTTTCATTCTAATGTTTCCTTGTCTTCTGTAAGACGCTCTGTCTAAATCCTTTCCACTTTTGCTTTGTACATAGATACTTGAACAATAACTATTTCACTGGAGGAGTCCCTGCACAACTTGCTAACTTGACCAATCTTGAAATCCTGTGAGTCTTGCCTTTGCTTCCTTCCCTTTCATATTTCTTTGCTTTTTCTCCTTTTCCCACGACCTGTACCTTACATTTTTGAAGTTTTTGCTTTTCTTGCTCCTGTAAGCTTAATGCTGCCATCTAATTGTTTGGCACACTCCTTGGAAATTTTCCCTAAAATGTTTTTGATTGGTTGTTGAGACAGGTTCCTATCCCACAACAAAATGTCAGGAGTTATACCATCAAGCCTTGCTCATATCCCCAAATTGACTTACTTGTAAGTTTGTTTTCTGACTTGATAAGTCATAATTCCATTTTTAAACTATACTGGACTGTTTTTCAGTAGAATAGTGGTTAATTAAGAGTCTGGATTGCTACTATCGGGCTTTGATGAAACACAATTATTTACTGTCTCCTTGTACCTATCTTAATTTTTATCTTGCTGTTATTTATTTATAGAGGAGCAGTTTCTTTAGCTTATAAAGTATTGATAGAGACCAAGATAAAACAGTAGACAAACAATGCCGAAACTGATATTAATCACACAAAAAACTGGGTTCAATACAATATATAACTAACACAGCTCACACAGGAAACAACAAAGAACATTCAACTCACCAATACACTAAATACACACTGAAATACAAAGAAAATGATGAAGAAAGACTCTTCCTCCACCCCTAACCTGGCATTCGAGAGGCCAGCACTCTCCTCACCAAACTCAGTTCACAAAAAAATAAGTCCACCCTTCTCTCAGATACCTCCACGGCTAATATAAGCCCCAAAAGTGAGTCACACAATCCCCAATACAACCTTTTCCTAAGTCAGGCCTATAGCCACCCTAAAGTAACTCATATGCTCAATATTCTTTCTCCAAACAGAAAGAAGCTTGAGGTCAAGGCCCTATACAGCAGAAAGTAATTTTCCTTTTTCATGATTTTGCAAGTTCTACTTTTATACGGTTGACAAATAAAAGAAATTCTATCAAGTATCTTTTTAAGCATGGGAGTGGTCAAGTAATATAATACTCCTCTAGTCCTTAATATAGGACTTAATTGGAGAGTTAATGTTGGTCCTATATAAGGTATAAATTACATGTTTATCAATTTTTTCTCAAATTAACCTGTTGATATTTTCTTAATAATAATCTAACGGGAGAGGGATAGGGTGTTCTTAAAAAAAAAAAAAAAAACATATTATGTTAACTAATTTTACTAACATCCTTAATCCACTCAAATTAGTTAATTAGGTCTTATATTAAGGGATCAGAGAAGTATTAGTTTGCTGAGATTTTAAGGGCTTTAAGAGATGTCAAATAGAATCTGATGCAAGTTTCAACCTAATCTTTATGGTCTTGAGACTTGTACAGCCTGATCTAATGAACTATGGTTTGTGCTATTATGAGCTCCAGTCTGCTGTTACTTTTAGCCCTACTCTAGCTTCTTTTTCATGTGAATAGTAGAGATGGGCTTTTGCTACCTTCTCCTCTTAATCTAAGAAAATGTTCTTATATATGCTCAAGAAATTGTCAATGTTAACATTCTTTCCCGTAATAATTGTTTCTCAGGTACTTGGATCACAACCAGTTTTCTGGGAGAATTCCTGATGCCTTCTACAAGCATCCATTCTTGAAAGAATTGTGAGCTCCTAACGCTGTAATTTTTTTTTTTTTTTTGGTTTCTTTGAGACGAGAGAGTAATAGGTTTAATCAGTATATTATTTCTGAAGAGGCAAAGTACATTATATAACTTGCTAAGATACCTAAATCTAGGATAAATGACTAAATCAAGGAGATCTATCCTAATCTATCTGATAAATCTAATCAGATTGAAATACAAAGAATGGACTTAATAAATAAATAAAACACTGCTTATTGGGCTTGGGCTTTGTCTTCCAACACTCCCCCTCAAGCTGGTGAATAGATGTCAATCATTCCCAGCTTGCTCCTTAGTCCTTCAAATGAGTCTCTGGGCAATGGTTTAGTAAACAAATCTGCCACTTGATTTTTGGTTCGGATGTAAGATAAGTCAATGATACCACCTTCAATCTTTTCTCTTATGAAGTGTCTGTCAATTTCAACATGCTTTGTCCTGTCATGATGCACAGGATTTAGGGCCATTTCCATGGCTGATTTACTATCACACCAAAGTTTTATTGGCCCAGTATGCATTATTCTAAGTTCTTTTAGAACTCTAATTATCCAGATTCCTTCACAGACCCCAAGGGCTAGTGCCCTTAGTTCTGCTTCGGCACTGCTTCTGGAAACCACTGGTTGCTTCTTACTTCTCCAGGTAACCAGATTTCCCCATAAGTAAGTGATGTATAAATCTCTATTCCTCTAGCTTCTCCTTTCCTGAAGAATAATCCCTTTCCTGGATTCATCTTCAAATATTTCAGAATTCTATATACCGCTTCCATATGTTGTTCTTGCGGTTGATTCATAAACTGACTTACAACTCCCACGGCGTAGCTTATATCTGGTCTTGTATGAGCCAGATAGATGAGTTTTCCTACCAATAGTTGGTATCTTCCGGTGTTGACCGGTATCCCATCCTTCTTGTATTCTAGATTGCAGTCAGTTTCCATGGGGGTTCCTGCAGGTTTGGCTCCAAGCATACCAGTTTCTTGCAACAAATCCAATGTATATTTTCTCTGAGAGACATTTATTCCTTGTTTGGTTCTACTAATTTCCATCCCAAGGAAATACCTCATCTGTCCCAGATCTTTCATCTCGAACTCAGCTGCCAATGATCTCTTTAACCTTCTTACGGCACCTTCATCATTTCCTGTAATCACAATATCGTCTACATACACTATCAGGATGGTTATTAGATCACCAACATGCTTTATGAAGAGTGTGTGATCTGAGTGCCCTTGTGAGTATCCCATTTTTTTCATGGTCATTGAGAATCTTTCGAACCAAGCTCTAGGGGATTGTTTCAACCCATATAATGATTTCTGGAGTTTACAAACCTTTGAGCAATTTGTTGAATTCTTCAAGCCAGCAGGTATCTCCATATATACTTCTTCCTTAAGATCCCCATTCAGAAAAGCATTTTTCACATCTAGCTGGTAAAGTGGCCAGTCTAGATTGGCTGCTACTGATAAAAGAACCTTAATGGTGTTGAGCTTAGCTACCGGGGCAAAGGTTTCTTGATAGTCAACCCCATATGTTTGTGTATATCCTCGAGCTACAAGTCTTGCTTTATATTTGTTTATGCTTCCATCTGGATTGTACTTGATTGTGAAAACCCACCGACACCCCACGGTCTTCTTTCCTGTGGGTAAATCTGTAATTTCCCATGTTTCATTCTGTTTCAATGCTTCCAACTCTTCATTGATAGCATGTTTCCAGTTAGAGTTACCAATAGCCTCTTGAAACGTCTTAGGTACTCTCTCACTGGATAAGTTTGCTACAAAAGTCTGCATTCTAGAAGATAATTTATCATAGGAAACAAATCGACTGATGGGATGCTGAGTACAGGATCTTACCCCTTTTCTGAGAGCAATTGGCCACCCAAGTTCTTCAGGATCTAACATTGAATTGGAGTTTTGGTTATGCCTCGGAATGTAAGAGACTCTATTATTTTGCTGCTCTTCTGCGAGTTGTTCTTCTTCAACATCAGTTTCAATACTACCTTCCTGGTCCATCCCTGTATTCACCTCAACACTATTTTCCAGATGGCTGTGATTTTGTTGAGTAGAGGAAGCTTGTGGGTTTGGATCTTCAGGTTCAGGTTGAATAGAGGAAGCTAGATTATCAGAAGCTTGTGGGTTTGGTTCAGGGATGTCTAGGATTGTTTGAGTAGGGACATTCAAAGTTAGCCATTCTTCAGTATCATAATTCTCCCCCTGAATGGGTAACTTGGGATAGTATGCATCTTCTTCGGAAAATACGGCATCCTTAGTAACATAAACTCTTCTGGTTGTGGGACAATAACACTTATAACCTTTCTGGGTAGGAGAATACCCAAGAAAGATACATTTTAAAGCTCTTGGTTCAAGTTTGTTGCTCTCATCTTGATGTATATATACTACACATCCAAATACTTTCAAGGGAATGTCTGAGACTAGGGGTGAATCTGGGTAGGTTTCAAGAAGTTTTTGAATGGGGGTTTGATAGTTGAGTACTTTTGTGGGCATTCTATTGATTAGGTAGGCTGATGTGAGAACAGCTTCTCCCCAAAATAGGTTTGGAACATTCCTGGCAATCATAATGGCTCGGGTGACTTCTAGGAGATGTCGGTTTTTTTCGTTCAGCTACCCCATTTTGTTGCGGGGTGTATGCACACGAGGTTTGGTGGTGGATTCCTTGCTGGTCAAGAAATTCCTTTAAGGTTGTGCTGAGGTACTCTCTGGCATTGTCACTTCTTAATATCTTGATTGTCCCTTGGAATTGAGTTTTCACAAATGTGTGGAAACTTCTAAAAATGCTAAAAATTTCCGATCTTTCTTTCATCAAGTATACCCAAGTTACTCGAGTATGGTCATCAATAAAGGTCACAAACCACCTAGCGTTAGAGGTTGATTTAACTCTTGCAGGTCCCCAAATATCACTATGTATTAAGGTAAAGGGTGCGGTTGGCTTTGTAAGGTTGTTTGGGATAAGAAGTTCTAGTTTGTTTTGCAAACTGGCAAGTTTCACAAAGAAAAGGAACTGAACTTTTATTCAATAAATCTGGAAATAAGTGTTTCATATAGTCAACACTGGGATGGCCTATCCTAGAGTGCCATAATAATACATCCTTATTTGAAGAATTTGAACTAAACAAAGCCTTGCCCACATGTTTATTGGTGATCCTTGAGCCTTCAAGATAATAGAGTCCGTCCCATTCTTTAGCAATGCCAATCCTCCTCCTCGTTGTCAAATCCTGAAAAACACACCCGGTATCATCAAAAAACACTCGACAGTGATGATTTTTAGTTATTTTACTCACTGATAGTAAATTACATGCAAGTGCTGGGACAAATAGAACATTTTGTAATTCAAAGTTATCAGAAATCTTGACAGTTCCAATACCACAAACTTTGGAGAAGATTCCATTAGCAACTTTCACTTTAAGGTTCTCATCACGACAATACTTTATAATTCTGAACAAAACTTTATTACCCGTCATATGATCTGTAGCTCCCGAGTCAACAATCCAAGTGTTATCACGGGTTATTAAGGCATTTAGGGCTATAATAGAATTACCTGACTTCACCAGATTTGCTTTAGGGGTAGAGGTAGAGTTATTATGCTTCTCAAGAATTCGTCTGAGTACTTGTAGTTCTTCTCGGCTAAGAGTTTCTCCATTCTCCTCATTCTCGTTGGTCACCACAGCATACCCCCTATTCTCCGGTCTTCGTTTTTGTTTCAGATTTGCTGGTTTGCCGTGTAATTTCCAGCATATATCCCTAGTATGACCATTTTTGTTGCAATGGTCACACCATCCTTTGGAGTTCTTCTTTCCTCTCTGATCTGATCCATTGTTACCATGTACTGCTAGCGCTGAACTCTCAGAGGGTGCAGATACACTTTGGGTGAGTCGTTTTCTGCTTTCTTCACATCTGACCATATTGAAAGCTTCGAACAGCGATGGCAGTGGTTTCATTCCCATAATTCTTCCCCTTACGTCATCAAACATGTCAATGAGACCAAGTAAAAACTCATAGGTTCGTTCTTTTTCAACCAGTTCCCTATATAGTTGGGCATCACTGCTGCACTTCCATTCATGGACATCAAACATGTCCAACTGCTGCCACAAGCGTGTGAGAGCAGTATAATATTGTGTTACTGTCATGCTTCCTTGTTTCATCTCTCTCTGTGCCTTTTTTATTTGAAACAGAGCAGCAGTATTCTCCATAGCTGAGTATGTTCTTTTGGCCGCATCCCATATCTCCTTTGCCGTCTTAGCAAGCAGATAGCCTTCACTAATGTCTACTGTCATGGAGTTACATAACCAGGTCATCACCAGATTATTTTCAGCAAACCAAGTATCATACTTTGAGTCATCAGGACTCGGTTGTGGGGCCTCCCCAGTTATGTATTTTTCTTTTCTTCTGCCTCGTAAGTACATCAGGACACTTTGAGACCACTGTAAATAATTACTTCCATTTAACTTGTGAGCGACCACCATCTGAGGAGTCTCGGTGGTCAATCCAGATTCTATTCCCATTAAAGGAGAAGAACCCGTGCCTGATGTAGAAGAAGAAGATGATGGTGCTGTACCTGCTGTAAACGCTGATGAAGGACGCCTCATTGTGCCAAACAGAGGTGGAAATTCTCCAGATTCCATCTCGTTTACGTCGGATTCACTAGGTAGCACGAATATGATCGTGCCTTTGTGCAACTCGGTCAGTCGGGTTCACGTCGGGTTCACGTCGGGTTCACCGGGCAGCACGGATATGAAGACCCGATCTCAGTCGCTCACTCAAATGCGATCAGATTTCTCGGTTGTTGACGTTCGCTAATTCAGACGCGATCACTGGGTCTTCAGTCGCTCAACCCAGACGTGCTCACTCGGTCTTCAGACGCGATCACTGATTACTGGGTCTTCAGTCGCTCACCTCAGTCGTGCTCCCTCGGTCTTCAGTCGCCGACTACAAATGCCTCTGTCGTCGGCCTTCCTGCGACCAGATTGCCTGGTCCTAGTCGCGAACAAGGATGCGACTTTCACTCTCCCTCTGACTGGTCCTAGTCGCGGTCAAAGCCACGACTTTCACTCTCTCTCTTGGTCTCTCGCTCTGATACCATGAGACGAGAGAGTAATAGGTTTAATCAGTATATTATTTCTGAAGAGGCAAAGTACATTATATAACTTGCTAAGATACCTAAATCTAGGATAAATGACTAAATCAAGGAGATCTATCCTAATCTATCTAATAAATCTAATCAGATTGAAATACAAAGAATGGACTTAATAAATAAATAAAACACTGCTTATTGGGCTTGGGCTTTGTCTTCCAACACTTTTGTTTTTGTTTTTTTTGTTTACCTGATATGCTATCATAGTTGGAGAAATGGGAAATTGTTAAGTAGATGTGATACACCAAAAGGAGGGAAGAAAAGTGATGGATTGAACCCAACTAACCAATTATGGATAGACATGCACAAGCATACTGAAAAGGGTTTCTCTAATCTTGAATTTGTTATGGAAAGTGCTGCCTAAGAAATCCTCAGAGGACGATCCATTATCTGTTATACTTTGAACTGAGTAATGTTTTCTTCACAGGTATATTGAAGGAAATGCATTCCGACCCAGTGTGAACCCCATTGGTGTGCACAAAGTCCTTGAAGTTTCTGATGCTGAATTCCTTGTTTGATGAACACGATGCATCATATTCTTTTGATTTTCTTCCCTGGAAGGTTGCTTGTATAATTACTGAAACAATTAATCATCTGATAATCTCAGTGAAATAGTAAAATAGGTTATTCAATTTTGGTCTGATCTGTATCTTCTTCATTGCATATTTATTTTTTATGTGGGCAAACATTTCATGTCACTAAGAAGTTGAATGTACATGAGATGGATTCGATGTTGAAGTTCAGAATGTATTCAATAATTTTAGACAAAAATGGTATAGAGGAATGGAATTGGAAACTGAAACCGTCAAGCATCGAACCCTTGTGCTTGCAAGAGAAAATAAAGGGTCTAAATTTTGGGTAGATTTCAATTTGACAGCGAAATTGGTTAATTGGAAAAGTCGGTAACCTAGTTCTTAAATTGATGATTCTTAAAGAAATCCACGTGCGGTGCTGCGTTGGTAGCCAATTTTTGGCAGATAGGACTGAGTTATAAATGCAAGGGTAATAATGTAAAAAGTTAATAGATAAAGGTGAGAAGCTGTGTGGTTTTGAACTTTTTATGTAAACACTAAATTATAAATTATAAGTGAGTTAAAAATTAAAAAGTTAAAAAATTATTTTATTTTTAGTTTGTCATATACTACTCTTTGGTTTTGTTTATATGATGTTTTTAATATGTTTTGCAAGAATCTAAAAAAGCCTTAAATTATATTAACTTTTCATTAAAATATAATAATTTTCTAATTTTACCTCTTTTTAATCTATACATGTTAAAAAAATAATAATTATCTATACTATAATAAATAAATGACAAAATATTATATTCCTAGAAATTTAGGTTTAATTATACAAAATTTTTCTAAACTTTGGGACGGTTGCATATAACCTTTCTTACATTTCAAAGTTTAAATTCAAACCCTTGATCTCTTACTTTTTTATTTATGGACTCTTTGCTGCTAAGTCACTGTTGTGTTTTTAACAGAATTTGTCACGTTAGATCATCATAAAACACCTCGCATCCTACGAGGCATCTTACAGAGCATCTTATCTAAGTTAATTTTATGAAACTTTCTTGAACTTTAAGCTAATTGCACATAACACTGCTGACATTTATACCCGGAAAAAAAAAAAAAATCCCTTGACATTTTAAGACCGAACCCCCTTCAATTACCCTTTTTTCCTATTTAATGCTTATCGGAACCATCTGATTACTTTCACGTTAACATTTTTTTACAATATTATGGTCTTATTTTACAATTTTAATAAATTTATCAAGATTTTGACAATCATTGATTAATTAAAATATCAATTATTGTGTGACAAAAAATAGAAGAAAATTTTTATTTAAAAGATTATGTTGATAAAAAAATATAAGAATAAAAATGAGTAAATGATAAAATGACCTTTTAATCCTTATATAAAAATGATATAATTATTATAAAATGATTATATTAAATAGTATGCCATGTAAGATGCCATGTAAAATGTGAGGTGCTTTATAGTGATCTAACATGACAAATTTCGTTTAAAAAATAACAGTAAATTAGCCACAAAGTATCCATAATAAAAAAAATGAAAGCTAAGGGGGTTAAATTTAAAATTTAAAATGTCAGCAATGTTATATGCAACTAACTTATAGTTTAGGAGGTTTTGTATAATTTAGCCAAAAATTTAATAAGGTGACTTATAAATATAATCAATAAAATTTTTTTGGGCCTTATAAATAAAACAAAATGAGTACAATTAAATGTATATATATAAACATATCAAAGTCGAATTCAAACCCAAGGCTCCATCCTAGCATGGCAGGTGGTGATGCTGCTGGGACAACTAGCTGTGAACTGTTATTTCTTTTGTTTGGATTATTAATATCAAGGTTAAGATTATTAAAAATTAAAATTTGGTGAAATAATACGGATAAACTTGTATTAAAAATTAAAACTTTATGAAATAATTCGGAGCATTCATACGCTTTCTAAGAATTGGAGAAAAATGGAAAAGGAAAATTTCAATTGAAGCCTAGATAATGTTCTTACCATTAGTAATTTGAAAACAATAATAATAAGATGTAAGTATAAAGATGAGATATATACTTCACTCGCAATTTTAATTTTTGTGGTTGTCATTCTGCCCATGAAAGCATATACATACATGTATATATATAGCACGTACCAATATTGCACAAAGATCTTCCAGAGAGCGGGGCTGGCAAAAGATGGCATTGGCTTGGGTGGATAAGAAATGAATTCAATAATTCGTGCAAGCTAAATTAAATATATGCAAGTAGTAAATTCAGAGCAAAACTTGTAATGGACAAGCAATTTAATATGTTAATTTTCCAATTTCGAGCAACTGATCAACCTAATCAAAGTGTAAATGCACTTTCTTCAAAACTCTCTGTATCTCTTCCATTTGTGGGTGTGTTTTCTCACCCGCAATAAACTCATTAACAATCCCATCAATCTCCACTGAGCTGCAACCAGGCGCTTTGTGTACTCCTTTCTTCTTCATTATCTCCCTTACCCTTCTGGCATCACTAGTGTTCCCAGTTGCTGAATATAAATTAGAAAGCATAACATACGCCCCAATGCTATTCTCCAACATTTTTTGGTTGATCTCACTCTGATTTGTATTCGAATTCAGATCCAAGGATGGCCCTGATATCAGTGAGTCAGAAACTGGTCTGTGATTTTCTATCAGAAAGAGTCTTTCAGCTGCGGCTTTGGCCATTTGAGCTTCTCCATGGTTGCAACAAGCACTCAGAAATGCTCTCCAAGCCATTGCTTCTTGTTCAGAGCCATTACTTGAACAATGGCTTATTCTTCTTATCATACCTTTAGCTTCTTCGAACATTCCTGCTCTGCTAAGTAAGTCTACCAGACAACCATAATGTTCAACTTTAGGATCAATGTTGTACATATTAATCATTTTATCCAAAAATTTCAGGCCTTCTTGAGCCATTCCTGCGTAACTACAAGCTGTGAAAACAGCAAGGAATGTTAGGTCATCAGGCTTTATCTTGGCCTTTTCCATATCCGAAAACAATTTAAGGGCATTTTCCCCCTCATCATGCATTGCCATTCCAGAAATCATAGCATTATAGCATATTGTATCTCTCTGCGACATGGATTCAAATATTCTTTTGGATAAGTCCAAATGCCCACACTTGGTATACATGTCTAATAAACTTGTGCTCAAGCGAGTGCTCATTGGCACCCTTGTTTGATTCAAGCATCTATGGATCCAAATGCCGACATCTAAAGCCCCAAGATGAGCACAGGCAGGAAGAATGCTAACAAATATGGATTCATCAGGTGATATGTCAGTATTCTGCATCAAACGAAAAAAGTAAAGACCTTCCTTGAAGCAATTGTTCTGCACATACCCAGAAATCATCGCTCCCCATATTCCCTTATCTTTCTCAAATGCTTCATCAAAGAAAAATCTAGCTGTTTCGACATCACCCACCTTTGCGTATCCTGATATCATCACAGTCCAAGACACAGAACTTAGGCGAGGCATTTCATCAAACACTCGTCGAGCATATCCCATATCTCCACACACACAGTACACTGCCATCAAAGAATTACCCACAAAAAGATCAAACGCAAAACCAAGTTTCAAGCTATGCCCATGAATTGATTGTCCTAGAGGGTAACTTTTCAGGCCTGCACAAGCCTTTAGTGCATAAGGAATGGTGTAATTATCAGGAATTAAGCCATTCCGTAGCATCTCAGTGAACATACTTATGATTCTGGTGTGTTCATTGTGGAGCAGGAAGGTTTTGATGATGGTATTGTAGATGCAAATAGTGGGTTGGTGAATGCGTTCAAAAATTTTCCAGGCGTAGGTGAGGCTGTTGTCATGTGTGTTTGAGGAGAAGAATGCTAGAACTCTGCTTAGAGCAAAGCTATTGTTTTCAAGTCCACAAGCGATTACTTGGGCATGAGCTTGCTTTATGTGCTTCATGTTCTTGCATTTCTCCAAGAGTAAAAGACACCTCTTGCTGCAACTTGACATGGAAATCACTTTCAATTTCTAAATCCCTCAACTTCCCTGTCTGGTTTTCATGGTGGTGCTTGCTGGCACCCTGCAATTTTTTCACAATTCAGATTAGTTTGATTACTGAACTCAAGGTTTGGTTTCTCTTTCCCATCACACTTCTCCTATCATTGCGTTGAAATTGTTTAGTTTTGATCTTGCTTAACCTCCAGAACCAAATAAAAGAAGTCGAGTTGAAATTAGGAGGGAATTTACTTATATTAAACTATCAGTTTCACTCACATACCTGGTGATTACAAATGTAAAACTATATTGAATCGTATTAAATTACGAAAGTGGAAAAGAAAAAAAAAGTTACCGAAGTCTACATGTAGAGTCGAGACGGTGAATTAAAGAAAAATAGAGTAAAATTATTTCCGCTTCATCCGATCCTGGTTTTGCTGTTCGTCGTCGTCGTCGTCGTCGGACGAAGCAGAAGGATCTAGACGCACAGCATCCTTGGCCCACTGAATCAATTTCTCAACTTGATCATCTTCATCTTCATCTTCTTCTTCAGCAGAGGGAAACGCGGGGGTTTGCTTCAATGATGGATTCGAATTAACCTTGAGAGCATCGAATCTGGCGAAGGGATCATCGCCAAGAGCAGGTTTGGATTCCCGATCTTCACTTGCAATTCCCACTGAGGATTGTCTTGATTTGAGGGCTTGGAATCGGCGCTCCAGATCCGCATCGAGAGTCAAGCTTGATGAAGCTGAAGCTGAAACTGAAGATGCAGATGAAGCTATGTGAGAGTCGACAGAGAGCTTTAACAACAATTCGTCCTGAGCTGCTCGTAGAAGCTCTTCTACTTCGTCTCTATTCTTCGTTTCATTGCTCCCCATCCTTCCTCGCCCTCTTTGTTGTAATAAAAATTTTCAATCAAACAATTAACGGATTTGAGAGAGAAAGAGATTTATATATATTTATATATATATATATATATATAGACGCGCGCACACATTTACACACACACACATTTGTATATAACTGTATGCGAAGTTTACTTTTTGTTCTACGAATAAATTGCATTTATACAATTTTCTTTTCATTATATTACTTCTGACTGCATCAATTCTTAATACTAACTCTGATCGTGAATATAAGATCTAGTTGATTAATTTAAGTAGATTAAAAAATTAATTAAATTAGTTATTTATAATAAATAGATATTATCTTTCTTAAAATATCCTTACTAATTAAGTATAACCTCCGATTCTTAATATAAGACTTTGTTTGATTTTTATTTTAGTTTTAAATATAAGATTCTAATCCACTTCGTCTCTCATATTTGCACATTTTTTTTTGAAGTAGTCCTTCTAATAATGATGGCTCTAACCAATACACTTGATTAACAAGGATATTTTAGGAAAGACAATACCTATTTATTACAAATAACTAACTTAACTTCTTTCCTTAATCTATTTAAATTAGTCAACTAGCTCTTATATTTAGAATCAGAGGTAGTATATTGGTTAGAACTACCATTATTACAAGGATTATCTTAAAAAAAAATAGATGACTATGAGAGACAAAATAGATTGAGATCTTATATTTACGACCAAAATAAAAGTCAAACAAGCTTTTATATTAAGGATTAGAGATAGTATAAGATCTAGTTGACTAATTTGAGAGGATTAAGTAGTTAAATTAGTTATTTGCGGTAAATAAATATTATTTTTCTTAAAATACCTTTATTAATTATGTGTGTTTGAATTACCTATTGATATTGACTCATTAATATATGCAATTATTATACGAATTATTTGAACGTAAAATAGATAAATATTGGAAATAAAGTTAGTTAGGTTCTTATATTTGGGATCAAATTAAATATCAAACTAACTCTTATATTAAGGAATGGAGATAGTATATTGTTAATTTTTTTGCCAAATTTTTTGTCATTGAATGAGGAAAATATACAAACTCTAGAAAACCAAATTAAAAGACTCCAAAAAAAGTCACATTGAAAACAAGTTATATACCCAAAGACCTGTAACACAAAATGATGGACTCAAAAAGAAGAACAACTACAAAATAAAAAACTAAGGTCGAAGCAACCTAGCCAGCTCTACTCCTATCTGCCATACTACCAGAAGAGAAACAAATTATGTCAAAATTTGAGCATCATCCTGTGATCTTCTATCGCCATTAAATTCCAAGTTTGCAACCAGAAGCTTTTCCAAGAGAGGTAGAGTTGCTATAAGCCACCCATTGGATGCCAACTCTTTGTTGTAAACAGCTGCAAGATAATCTACAACCTTATTACCTAGATGTTCCACCAAAGAGAACATAAGGATTGTTTTCCTCTGAACTAAGTAAAAATCTCCTTGGCAACCCAAGCACACTGCTGTTCTAAACCAGCAATAGAAAACATGGCTAAATTGTAAGTTTTAATATAGAATTTTGTTAATTTTACTATTAAACTATTATTATATTTTTTTGAATTTTATTATTAGTGATTATTAATGTTGTTGTATTTTAATATGATCAGTTTGACGTTGAATTGACTCGGATATGATAAAATAACTCTTGAATTGCTACTTCAATCAATTTAGTATTTAGTCCGGTTTGGTTTTTTATTCCTTGTAAATTATATGAAATGGTAAATATAAGATTTCGGGCATACCTGGAGAGTCCTTCAAGTCAGATAGCCACACAGAGGTCTAGTTATTTTGATTAACTCGGAGCTTTGTTTTCACAGTAAATACACACTAAGGGAAGAACAGAGGGGGAGGAAGGAAGAGTTTTTGATGGTCTGTTGTTCTGTTGTATATTCAGATGAGAAAGATCAACCCCCATATACCCACATAGGATAACTGTTCCCTCCCTTTTTTAGTTTAAACGAAAAAAAAATGCAAATCACAATTGGAGACTGAATGTCATGTTATTTGCACCAGAGTCCCAAAGTTAATGTACTTGGGTCCAATCCACCACGGGTAGATGGCCCATTTTCCTATATCTCCCACTCAGTTGTTGGATTAGATATTGTGGGTCTAGTCTCTTTCTTTCTCCTTAATTTCATACTTAATGCTTTACCGTGACCGCGTGAGCATGACGTCTTCACTCATGTGCCTGTACAAAGAAATTCTTTTATGGAACTAGCACAAGTCACCTTCTCATTCATATAGCTTGAATTTTAAAAATTATGCCTTAGATGTCCTAGATTTACCTATATACACTTTTTTTTCATGGCAAATCTAATCCCTCTCAAGTCAATGTTTGACTCAGATTACTTTCCTCACAAGTCTAGTGTCCACACTTATAACAACGAAATGTCATAAGGAACATGTCATGGATACTAGCACATATGTGTATATTGGAGTTAATTTTCCTTTCACGCAAATATGACTTTGATATGAATCAGTCACTTTCTTAGCATAATATGTTAGATCACATCTATCATGACCGTAGGAAACATGCTGAAGTAGCAGTTATTGAAACATATCTTCATGATATTGTCAAAGTCAAAGAACATCAATAGGAGGATCGTTCCTCCCTGAGACTCACATAGCAATGAAGCAGGGATCTTTCATTTGCTTCCTTTTTGCAGTTCTCCTAGCAATGTGGTATGAAACACATGCTACAGTGTTACTCTTTTACTATAAGAGCGTATGTTGTTTTGGACTTATCATTAACACCGTACAAACTTAAGTCCAAGCACACTTAGTGTCTAAATCCAAATTCTTCAACTTTGCTTATATATATGATGTCGACATTGAAGATTTGTTATTTGGCTACAGGTATTATGGAAGTGGGATTCCAAGATTCGATCCAATTTTATTTATGTGGATCTCATCTTGACTTGCTACACTTTAGTCAAAACGACATATAGTTTGTGTTTCTTCCCTATCATATCAGCATTCTATGCTGCTTTATTGGTGAACACAAATGTCTTATCTTTGCTCACTCCACCTAAGCATCAAAGGTGGTTGCCCGTGTTGTACGACATACTAGACATTGTATACTTCCATACAGATACATAAAGTGATGACAGAAAAATATAATTTTATTAATTATAAAAGCATATTATATAAGGTTTGCATATTACACTTTGCGCATGCTAAGGGATTGCATATGTTCCTTAAAAACTTTCTCGCCTATTGGCTTTGGTAAGGGGTCTGCTACCATACATTTGGTTGAAATGCATTGTACAGTAATAATCTTCTATGCTATATAATCTCTAACAGAATTATACTTGATGTCAATATGCTTGATCTTGCTGTGATACTTAGGGTCTTTGTTATAGGCTCTGGTTGTAGTATTGTCACAGTGTACTAACATCGGATTGGTACTCTTGTTTTCAAATCCAAGGTGTTCTATAAATCTTTTCAACCATAAAGCCTCTTGCACTACTGTGGTGCATGCCATAAATTCAGCTTCTATTAAATGTAAGGCAATGCACGTTTGCTTCTTGCTACTCCAATAGATGGCGCCATTGTTTAGCAAGAAGGTATAACCTGAAGTTGACTTCGTTCTTCTTCATCTCGCTTAAATCAACATCGGAGTATCCAACAAGGCAGAGATCACTTCCTTCATAGCATAGTGCCTAATTAGAAGTCCCTTTTAAGTATCTCAAGATCCTCTTCACTACTTTCCAATGCTTTTCACTGGGGCTAGACTGGAATCTACTTGCTAGTCCCACTACATAATAGATATATGGTCTTGTGCATATCATTGCGTATATTAGACTGCCAACAGCACTAGGATATGGAACTCTTTCCATCTCCTTTTGTCAGACTCAGTTTTGGGACACATGTCAGGACTCAAGGCTACTCCAGTAGCAACTAGGGTACTCAGGGGATTGCAGTCTTTCATGTTAAATGCTCAAATCTTGTTGATGTAATTCTCTTATGAAAGAGAGAGGATTCGTTTTGAATAATTTCTTTAGATTTTAAGTCCAAGTGTATACTCTGCTTACCCCATATCTTTCATCCCAAAATTTGATGAAAGCCATTTTCTAATAGCCACCATCGAATTTAGACTATTTCCGGCCAATAGTATATCGTCTACATATAAGGATAATATGACAAAATTTCTCTCAAACCGCTTAATGTAGACGTAGTTGTCTTCCTCTATCATTTGGAAGTCATATAAGGTTATTGCTTTGTGAAACCTCAAATATCATTGTCTAGATGATTGTTTCAATCCATAAATAGATCTTTTGAGTTTACAAACTTTGTTCTCCTTTCCTTTTCCAATGAAACCTAATGGTTGTTCCATATAGATTTCTTCATCCAGATCACCATTTAGGAATGTGGTTTTTACATCTATCTGATGTAACAAAGGTCTAAACTGTTTACTATTGCTAGAATAAGTCTAATAGAGTTGAAATACACAATAGGTGAGAAAGTATCTTCATAATCTATGCTTCTTATTGTGTATATCTCTTTGCCACTAATCGAGCCTTATATTTGTCAATTGATCCATCCACTTTTTTTTTTAAATCTTGAGAACCCACTTTTTCCTAATGGCTTTATGCCCTTTTGACAGATCAACTAACACCCAAAACTTGGTTCTTTTTTATTGAGTCCATTTCTTTTTCCATTCCTCCTTAGTAGAACTTGATAAGGTTTCTCATATAGAATAGGGCTCATCATCCCCTTTTGAAGTAACTAAGAAAGATTCTCCTTCTATTTGAAAGCGTCTTTTGAGGACACTTTCTCTATTACTCCTTCTGACGAGAGTTGCTTGCTTATCTTTCTTTCTTTGTTCATGTCTCGGTGTTGACCTTTTTTTGCTCCTGCTCAGATTGACACATCTAGACGATTCTAGTTTATTAATTTGATCTACACTGTCTTGTTCCTGTGTTTCATAAAGAGAGACAGTGCACTCAACATCTCCT